CTTACCACATGCACAGAATTCCGCGGATGTCAATGGGCAAGTGCAGATGCAGATGCAGAAACGAGGAGAGATGCATTGTGACTGTATCCGACCAGGAAGATAGCTTGTATTCATTCATGATCAGGGTGTCGATGGGCGAGTGCAGATGCAGACACAAGGAGACGCACAAACTGCCTTCATTGCTACTGCACCGGACCAGGAAGATAGCTTGTATACATTCATGGTCAGGGTGTCGATGGGTAAGTGCAGATGCAGATGTAGATGTGAACACAAGGAGAGGCACAAACCACCCTCATTGCGACTGTACTGCACCGGGAAGATAACTTTATAGTAGTTTATACATTCATGATCCGGGTGTCAATCGTCAAGTGCAGATGCAGATGCAGATGTGGAAACAAAGAGATGGCAGACAGAGAGCAGCATCCAGTGCCTACCAATTCACTGGGGCAGCATCCGGCTTGAATCGAATGCCTGATCCTTATCGCTGTATCTAGGTTGAAAGTTGCTGCAAACACAGCTATATAATGACCAATTAACGCCAATTCATTCATCACAGTGAACATCCGCAGACTGCTAGGGAAAAGCACAACCAATAACATGGAAAAACAAACACATGCTGACTCATTCCAGATAGCCATGAAAGATAAGTCAAATGGAGGGAGAAAAAAGCTTAAAAAAAGGTGAACAATAGAACTGGGTGCAGCCGAGTCAAAAGTGAGAAGTAATACAACGACTGTCTCCAGCTTCCAGCGTAGTTCCATCAGCAGGCACAACGGGAGGTGGTAGTGGCTCCCAGAGCTCTCTCAGAGTCCCTCTCCCTCTCTCTAACCCTCGCCCCCCTGCTTCTCTCTCTCTCTCTCTCTCTCTCTCTCTCTCTCACACACACACACACACACACACACACACACACACACACACACATTTTCTTGCAGCTGTCTGTCATCCTCTTGCATACGTCTGCACATACACACATTTTTCAGGAGGACAAGAAGATAGAGGGAAGGAGGGGGGGAAGGGAAAGGAGGAAGAGGAGGGGGACGAGGAGGAAGGAGAGGAGGGGAGGAAGAAAGGGGTAGGGAGAGGAGAGTAAGGATGAGGAGGAGAAAGAGCAACGCACCTCAGACGGAATGTTCTGTTGGTAATCCAAAATTCTCTCCACTCCATTCATTTGATTCTCGGTGTCTGATATCGTTCTCATCTGCCATTCACAGGAGGTTGGGAAATGAATGCGTCATTCAGAAAGGTGTGTGACGGATTACTTACCGGGGCACAGTGACTCTGGTCAATCGACACACCGAGTAACTAACCATAATTAAACTCAGTAACTAACGGATTATTTGCCGATATAATCACACTACGCTACTAACCATAGTAACTTGTACTAATTCTCAATAACAGCCAGACAATGAACGCGTACTAATTATCCATAACACCCAGACAATGAACGCATACCAATTATCAATAACAGCCAGACAATGAAAGCGGACATTTTGGCTCAATGTGCACATAGTCACTGTCAGATAAATCTGCAAAGGTCTGGGTGCAAGTTTCCCCTTTTGCCACAAAAAAGATAGTGCTTATAACTTATAAGTTATTACCATGGCGTTTGGGTTTCAACGTCTGGATTCTGGGTGTAGGGTTTAGGGTTCAGGGTTTAATGTTTAGGGTTTAGGCCCCTTTAGGGTTCACAATTCAGAATTTAGGGTTGGAGGGGGGAAAGGGAAAGGGAAAGTAGGGTTTAGAGTTCAGGGTTTAATGTTTAGGGGCCTAAACCCTAAACATTAAACCCTAAAGGGGGTTCATAATTTAGGGTTGCACCGTTGCACACATTTGACATGTTCAGGGTTTCGGGCTTAGGCTCGGATCCCACACTACTTACCATAACGGTCCATAAGTACTTTCTGGCAAAATTCGGTATCCCACCATTTTGCGCATGAGTAGGGGGCGGCACTACCATCGGATGAAATTGGAAACGTTTGTAGTTGTGGCGCTTAGNGAGAGAGAGAGAGAGAGAGAGAGAGAGAGAGAGAGAGAGAGAGAGAGAGAGAGAGAGAGAGAGAGAGAGAGAGAGCGAGCTGCAGCATCCAGCATGGCAGTGGCGGCAAGCACAAGGGCAGGCACTAACCGCCAAAAAAAAAGAAAAGACAATGTTCAATCAAATCTATGAGTTTTTCTTTTCGAAACTCGAATAGAAAAGGTATGTGTTGTTTTCGAATACAACACGTACGTGGTCTATTCGAAGTGCCCGTCTATTCAAGATTCGATTTCAAAATGTTAAACTCAAGGACCGCGGCCTCCTCAGCCTCCTAAGGGCAGCTACCACTCCTCCGCAAGCAACAACTGCCCGGGCGTTCCCCAACTTCCCCATGAATTGGGGCCCCAGCAAATCCACCATCCTTCCAACTACCGTTTGGACCCGAATGGACGACCGGTAGAATGAGGGACGACGAAATTGACCCAGGGGTATAAAACGCACCCCTGACGAGCTGCGAACTCAGATTGAGCTCTCAGAAGATTGGCCCCTGTCCATTGTTATCTGTGACCAGAGACCTCCCTGGGCTCAAGATCTGCAGAACGACATTGACTCTCCTCCTACCCTCTGCGTCTTGGCTGCTGTTCCTATAGATCTTGGCCTCGTTACCGGACACTGTCTGTCTACCGCTGACCCTCCCTGGAGCATCACCTCTGATCTGAGGCAAGTTCCTCCTCTAAATCTCGGGTCTCTTCCTGTCTTCCCTTAAACCACCAGTACACCCAAGGCTATCTGTACAAGCCTGAATTTTCAATTTTGCCGAGCCTGGAAGCAACCGGTACCACCACTTGGAAAATTGAGGGTGGTACCGGTACCAGCCTTTCTCGGACTGAGTGCTGCACCTGCTGCCAGCAGATGGTACAAACAAGAGGCCATTGTTTTCACTCGTCCGGCCCCCCCTTGCAAAACTCTCCTGCAAGCCCACCCATGTATCTGGCCTTTCCTGCAAAACAGATACAACAGGGCAACAACAGATAAAGACGTAAGTAGTTTGGTTTCTCTTTTTTTCTTTTTTTCCCTTTTTCTTGTTGCCCTGCCAGCAGGGAAGGGCGCAGTGCAGCCTCTGCACCCAAATTAGTGCAGTGGCGGGTACAGTGGCAGGGAGTTTCAAAGCAACATCACGGGCTTGATGCATCTGGCCGTAAGTGCAGCCCAATTCCATGGTAAAAGACACAACAGCATGCTGGCCCTATTGCCATCAGATTCAACCACGTCTGGCTGTAATTGCAGCCAGATCCATTTAGTAAAGCGTTGCCATGAGTTTGCAGTAAGGGAAAAAAAAAAAAAAAAAGGAAGTGGGACGGGGATCTGAATCTGCCAACCAGGCAGGGCTTGCCCTTCTCAAACTGCACCTGTACCTTTCCTCAAAACGGGTGCAAATTCAGCAAAACAAACAAAAGAAAGAGGTAAGCAAGTGTCTCCGGTTGATACAGCTGGTGTCCGTGGAAACAGGCGCCTGCCTCGTTTCTGGAGACCTGTCGGCCTCCAGAAACGAGGCAGGCACCTGTTTCAACGGGTGCCAGCATTCTTTTTGATGTTTTTTTTTCTTTTCTTTCCATCTGTAGTTTTTTTTGTTCCCCACCTTTGTTTTCACATATGGAAACAAACCAGTACGAGGACTTGTAGTCCAGCGTCCTTTTCCAGTGGGCCCACGAGCTCTTTTTCCCGTCGCTCTACCTGGCCTCCCCCGAGCCCCGAGATTTCCTTGTGGCGACAAGTTTGTTTTGCTGCAAGGCTGGGGGCGTGTACTGGTGGTTTAAACCCTGAACCCTAGTTACCCTGTGTGCCATACCATTGTAGATCTGTGATGCGTTCGCTGGGGGGGGAACAGATCTGGAAAATCGGTGGGGGGTTTCAGTGGGATCGTGGGGTTGATCTGGGCCCAATCATGAAAGGTAAGTGTGTTATCCTTTCTTCTGAAACCCTCCTCTCCTTCTCCCCTTTCTCCTCCTGGCCAGCTCACATGTGCCATCCTCCATCCACCTTGTTCTCCCCCCAGCCAGTTGTTGGATGCTTTTTTGGGCGTATTTATATTGCGTGAAGTGTGCCATCTTGGATCTGGTATGTGCCCATTGGGCTTGTAACTCTGTTTGGATGAACTCTCGTACCATGTCCGTCCCCTCGACCCATTGACTCGGACGTGCTCTAAGTTTTGCACACATGTCTACCACCACCATAGTGTCCACAGTACCGTTTTTCTTCCCAAGTGGAAGAGAGAATTTCTGTAAAGGTGGTTGACTGTGTGGGGCGCCAGGTGCCCAGGAGGAGGGCTTTCCACTCCCATGCCAGTCCGTCTCGGTGCCCAGTTAGCGCCAGATGCGCTCCCGCCAGCGCCAGGTGAGCACTGCTCCCGGGCATTGCAGGAATATATGTTCGATTGTTTCCCTGCGTTTGTGGTCGGGGTAGTTTTCCTTTCAGGCCTTGCACCAGGGGAGGGCCGTGCCCTTCTGTTCCAGCGATGAGTGGTCGATCAACCAATCATTTGTTGGCAGGCATCGGTGGCAGATCTGTCATTACAGAGAGGCAAACTTCGCTGGTCGCTCCATCATCCTCTCGAACCATTTGATGCTATGGAGGCTCTCTCTGCTAAGGTTCAAATGCCGCATCCAACGGTCAATAAGGATGGCTCGCACATCCACCTTGGGTCTAATCATTTGATATGTGCTCTTTATGGTGAGGGCCTGGAGCTTTCGGGGCTTTTGTGGTTGTCTCTTGTTGGGAGAGAGCCATTTCCATTCCTCTGGGTCTAAGGCTAGTGCTGCCAGTGGGGTTTCCGGGTGGAATGCAACCTAGTTGACTGTGTCCTTAGCACGCAGTAGTCTGATGCGGTGGAGGTGACCTAGTGGTTGCCATTCTACCTGGTCTGGTGTGTATTTGCTTAGCACTAGAAAGGCACTTTCTAGGAATGCACCGAATGACAAACCGGCTTAGGAGAAACTAATTACGAGAATTCTCTAGAACAAGCCGTAGAGTTTCTAGGATTTTCTAGTATGCCATCTTCACTGCATCCGGGTTCTGAAATCCTCGGACGGGTCCAGCTGGCATGCCTATTGTCCAGACACCCCACTTGCAGCCCCGTCCCTGGACCATGGAGAATGGCAGTGGCCCTCCCTTTGTCGAAGACAGCCCGGTAAACCGCACACGCTCCATTCCCTCGTTGTCAAAGCCACATATGGCATGGTCCGGCCCCCCGGTTGATGTGAGGGCCATTCTCATCGACCGTTTGATGCGCCGGCTCAACATTAGTCGGCATAGTCTTCGCCACATCCACTGGTTCCGACAACTCAAGAACATCCCGCAAAATGTGCCTCACCTCAATGGCAGATCTGCCATCGCTGTCTGCCAGCAAACGATTGGCTGATTGAAACACTCCTCCCTGGAACAAAGGGTTTGGCCCTCCCCTGGTGCAAAGCCTGCCAGGAAAACTTCTCCCACCACTGACGTAGGGAAACAATAGAGCGCCTGTTCCTTCAAAGCTCGGGCGCTGTGCTGACATAGTGATGGTGGGACCGCATCTGGCATCAATTTAGCACAGGAGTCAATTGGCCATGGGACTGGAAAGCACTCCTTTTGGGCGCTGACAGCTCTTTCACTTAGGACGTAAGGCGGGGTGTTCTATTTGGGTGACAACGGTAGTTTGGAAATAAGCAGTACACTTTTCGCTTACTGCCATGGTAGTTGACCTTGTTACCTGATGCTTTGAGAAAAAAAGGAAAAAGAGAAAAAGAAGAAAAGTAACTATAGTTTTTTTTATTTTTACAAGCAGATCCAGAAATTGTGGACATGGCTACCACATCCAAGGAAGGCATCAGGTGCCTAAATCACCCAATCCTTACATCAGGAAAAAAAAAGAAGCCATGAGGGCCCAAAAACAGCAACTACGGGTTGATTCCACTGTGTGAAAAGCATTGGTATTCCCATAATGGATATCAGAAATATCAAGGGGGAGTGCCCAACTCGTTGTTTCCACATTTTCAGTTTTGGATGATGACTCAAATCTGTATGCTTCCAAAAATCCTGGCAAAGTACGGTCATGGGCCGATTTTTGGGAAACCCAATTGTCTGCTCCTGAACAGGCCACTTGACAACCTCCAGACATGTAAGGGAGGGCAGACATGGACTGCCATTACAGGCGGCTGCTACGTCTCCAAAATGGAGAATTAAATTCAACTAAACAGTTTAAACTACAACTACCCCTGCTTACGGGTGGTCGGGGTCTCAGGCGCAGGTGCTTGGTGGCTTTTCACACAATTTTGCCCCAACTTTGGGAATTCTTCACGCTCGGAATCTCTGAAAAGAATCAGGGATGTATACTAAGTGCTGATCTTTCTGGGGAAAATGTGAGCAAGATAAAAAAAATAAAAATTCTGCATGTCAAAAAAATTATGGCGCAAACGCCGCGAAGTAGTAAGTACACATTGTTTTGCTGCATCCTGCTACCGGCACTTCCACATCCTTTTCGTCACGAAGTTTTTGGTTGATTTGTTTCGCTTCGTGGGCAGTGACATGTCTGCACAGTGCACACCCTTTCAGCGGAGCTCATTCCACCCAAAGTTTGGACCACTGACTTTCCCATTACCGTGGCCGTTCTCTTCAGTGCGGAACGCCATCCTGAGGTGTCGCATGTCTCGATTTTTACAAAACCAAACCAGTAGCTCCTGTTCCTGCGGGACCCCAGCCTGATGGTTTCTTGCTATTGGAAATAACTGCACTTATCTGCTTTTAGCGTTACCTGCTCTGCACCCAGACAGTGGAGCTCACCCCTAATGCTGGCTGGCCTAACGGTAGTACCCACCTACTCCTGCTCCTACGCCAGCCCATCTGCCTAAAGCTACAAACTACAATCAATTATCCGATAGATGATTCTTCTAATCTGCAAGTTTATAACACATGGTGTTCCTGTGGAATTGGTTTTGACAGACAGCAGAAACGCTCGCTGGTGAAGAAGCTCAACTGCGCGATAAATGTGAAACTATGCGGTAAGAAGCTGCACGAGCCATCCACCCAATCTCCTCTCCCTTTTTATTTCACAAACACATGCATGACCAGAAAGGCTCTCTCTCTCTGAATCAAGGACATGGTTAAAAAAAAAAAAAAAAAAAAAAGTTGCTGCCTTATGTGTGAATAATGCCCACCAGTAAACCATCAGTCCATCCAATCCGGTTTTTCCCGAAGCGGATTTTCAATGCACAACTAAGTCCTGGCCCGAGCTGATGCGGCATGCGATTCGCGCCTTGCGACACCAGCCTTTCTGTCCGGCAGGTCCAGTCCGCGATTTTTTGCAGCAGGCTAGCTAACCGCCGCGCCGGAACGAAAAAATAGCTCGAAACAAACCGGTGATTCCAAGTACTTACATCGAACATACCTACGGTAGTTGCATGCGGACAGTGCAATACAGTAACTGTGTCATTACCAAGGTAACAATCCAGTGCAGTCGATATATAGTATATATGGTAACAACAGATAGTAAGAGCAATAAACATACAGCTACTGTACTGGTCTAGGGTTTAGGGTTTAAGCCTTAGGGGTAATACAGTAACTATGTGATTTACTGAGGTAACAATGCCGTAAAGTAGCTATAGTATATGGTAACAAATAACAAATAGTAGACAGATTGAAGCAATGAGCAGACAGTTGCACTACTGCTCAGGGTTTAGGGCGTAGGTGCAGTACAGTAACTATGCGATTTACTAAGGTAAAAACACAGAACGACCGCTATAGTATATGGCAACAACTAGATAGAGCGAAGTCAATGAATCAATGAACAGACAGTTGCTCTGCTGCGTAGGGATAAGTAACTTTAGGGTTTAGACACAGTACATCGACTATGTGGTTTACTAATTTACTGAAGTAACAATGCAGTACAGTAGCTATCTATGGTAACAAACAGATAGCAAGAACAACGAACATACTGGACCTGCGTCACGGTAAAAACGTACATAAAGTAATTACTAATTAGTAATTAGTAATTACACCATTCACCAAATAGGTGCCAGAAAGAAGGGTCGTAGGAGTCCCGCTCCTTTTTTTATTCAGTTCTCAAGGACCGAGGGCATACTCACACTAGGACTTTCGTGGATGTACCTGACCGCAACTAGGGCCTGTCCTGGAAGTAGCTGACTGCAATTACGTCCACGGCAGAGTCGAATAAAGTTCTGGCGCGAGTATGCCCTCAACTGTTACTTGTTTTTTTTTTTCTTCTATATTTGTTTTATATAGGGTTATATTTTCTGACATATTTTGCAGTACAAACTGGTCATACTAGTCATCGTGCACAGGAAGCGAGGGTCAATTGCGTCTTTTTCCTTTTCTTTTCATTTTTTGGTTAAAAATGTGTTTTGCCCCTCCAAGATGTGGTGTTTACTGATTTCCCCTCAAAGCTGGAAAACTGCTTGCAGTCGCTGCCAGAGTGCAATGTTTGTGGGAGGCCCCCACTGGACCACCACACAACTTTGTGACATGCCCCGCAGCTTCCTATCCCCAGGCCAGAAAAGTTGCATGCACAATTTTTTTGCCACATTTGCAGGGGCGTCTGGCAAAGTTGACCCGGCACAGGAAGGGGCACACCGAAAGAGGCTGTGTTCAATCGACACAATGGATATTTGGTAAATAGGTACTGCCACTGGAAGACTAGTGAATGAATGGTGCATCATTGAGGGGCAAATCAGGAAATACCACATTCGAGGGGCGAACACACAATATCCCCTTCTATTTATTTTGGCTGTTCTTTGCCTCATGCAAAAGGAATAACTAAAGGCTATCACCCAGGCACCGTTCCCGTCACTGGTACATACGTAGGCAGTTTACACAACATCTTCCTTCCATTTGTGGGAAGAACCTTTCATCCATCCATTTCCGCGGGAGTATCATCAGCTGGTCAATCAAGGAGAATGGGATTCAATGATTGGATTGCAGAGAGGGGAAGAAACCAAAAATAGTCAGATTGTCAAAACATTGCGACAAAGTTCAGAGCAAACACAACTTACCTTGAAATCAAATCCACCCATCATAACGGAAAAGTGACCTCTCTCTCTCTCTCTCTCTCTCTCTCTCTCTCTCTCTCTCTCTCTCTCTCTCTCTCTCTCT